ATATATTTTAAAGTAAATTAATTAATATTTGTCTATGCAAAATGCTTATTTGAAAAAAAAAAAAAGCTTTGTTTAAAAAATTACCTTTCATTAAATGTTGACAAGTTTTGTCCAGACTGGCTGAGAAATTGAGAATTTAATTTAAGAGCTAAATAATTGTATTTTGTTTAGTTTTAAAATGTGAGTAAAGCATAGAAAAATAGAAACGTTTCTGAAATTTCTAAACAAGAAGAAATTCCAAAAATCCTGGAAATTGAAAAAATTTAACTCAATCAAATATTTAAAGATATACACGCTATAACTTGCGTCAGATAAAAATAAAGTTGGAAATTTATTTATTTTGTTTGCCAAATAAAGTTACGAAAATACTGTAAATTAAACAATTAAGAATGAACGCGTTATAAAGATCTCAAATTATAATTATTTATTATCCTACTAGGAGAGCAATGCATCTATATTTGAATTCATGCATCACGTGACACCGTCGCTACTTTTAGAACGGTAAACAAAAATGGCGTCAAGAAAACGAGGTAGGCCGTTTGGTATACAAATAACTTCTGAAATGGATGGCACACGTCTAATGCTTAATGATACTTATCCTTTAAAACACATACTTAGTATTAACCATCTACTCTGTAATGACAGATATTTTACCTTTTGCTCATAATTGTAGTCAAAATGCAACGTACCTCGTTTCTATGATTTCCCGCGGACATGCATGTCTATATACTGTTTACGCACTTCCTTCATCAATATTCATGAAAAGGCTGAATTCTTAATTGCAGATCTTCCTTAATTGCTATGTAATTACGACTTATTTAGTAAATCTTTGTGGAAAGTATTATTTTTTATTACACACCATGTTTTTCAAATTATTTAATCATTTTGTTTCACATAAAAAAAATCGCGTTTATGTAGCGAGTATATCTTTGATATTTGTAAATATATCCAATGCTATGTACCTCTCAGACCCTTGATTTTACTTTTAATTTGTAAAAGCATAAACCACAAATGGCAGTGCAAAAGAGATAGTCATTGCTTTGTGCCTGGGAAGATATGTATAAAACTTTTGTTGAAGTACTGGAATTTCAAACATAGATGTATTGAAGAACTCAGCTGTCAGTGTTTTGTATGTTGGAGGACAACCACCCCTTTATTTCAAATGTGAAATGAAGAATGTCCATCTTTAAAATAAGGACTGTTCCCTCATATAAATATTCTTTGGTAAAAAATTATTTAATATCTTCTTTTGCAAGAAAATGACTCTCATAATGTGTCAATGTCACGGGACTTTAAAATCTACAACAAGTTGTGTTGATTACATTATTCTGACCCTGTGTTCCATGAGTGCATCATTACTTTCATTAGTGTAGCATTTATTTGTAAATCTGAAACCTGGATGCTGTATAAAACTTCTTGTATTGAGATTACATTTTTGTTTTTGCTTTCCACATATATATTTGAAATGCTTGTGTCAATTATGAAATATTTACGGACAAAAAAAATGACATTGACTTTCTAAAAATTCATTCTCTTGTAATATTTATTGGCTTACTACACTTCAAACTGGAAGACCAGAGTAATGTTTTAAAAATTGACATTTTTATACAAGGTATAATACTAGTAATTGATCATAAAAATGTAAAAAGAATACTTGCTGCATACACTCTAAGGAATGTCAAAAAGTGTGATTTTAATACACTTTATGATAGTTGTGCAAGTGCATTTCATTCATTAAAATAAGGCAGCAATGCTTAATAAATGTATAACTTGTATAATTATACTGTAAAAAGAAAGAAATATTGTTTTCTTATAATATCACAAAGTATTATTTGTTAATTGGATTTTAAAATACATTGCATCATGTCATGAAATTCATAAGAAATCAAATGAAAGTTTAAACTTCTGTTTCTAAACAGACATTTCAATTTTTCATCACTAAAGCAATACATTAGCTAAGCTTGGTCAACCATCAACTAGTATCAGTACTTTCAGTACTTTGATTTTAAAAGGGAACTCCTGAGGCCTGTTCAACAGAGCGAACGTTCGCGAGCGCTCGCCAAAATTCCTTATCTTTCCAACAGAAATGTTCGCGAGCGCTCGCGAACGTTCGCTCTGTTGAACAGGCCTCAGATAGCTTACATTGGTCATGTGACCGCGACTTTTCTTAAATCATTTGTTCTTCAACTGACTTCAGCGACAATCTGTGAAAAAATAAAATATTGGATTTACAACTAGGGTTGGTGATTTTTATATCTGTAAAGTTTCATGAAGATTTTGAAAGCCCTCTTCGAGAACACTCGAGGACAAAACTAAAGTGAACCATAATACGACTCCTTTCAGGTGGCAGAAGCGATAGACCTACTGCAATCGAACCCATTTTTTTACGGAAACTACTTTGATACAGTAGAAGGAATAAACTTTTAAAGTTTCCAAAAGATTGATAGCGTAGTTACTACACAAAAAGAAATTAAAAGATTTTCACTTTTCGTCCGTTTCCATGGCAACGGTAGGAATTTAAAAACAAATTTGAATGTTGACTGCACACCTATAGCCTCTTTCGATAACCTAGTTACTTACCCATATGCACTCTCTAGTATTAGAAGTTTTTATCTTCCGGTAGATAAAGTTGTTGATGTAGCGTCATATGTCAAGGACGTTATGTAAAATTGTTAAAAATGGAATGTTTTGACGGGATGACAAAAAGCAACAAATTGACTTTCTTAAAAAGTGTGGACAACCAACTTTTGGAAACAAACCCGACCTTATACGGAGAGCAAAGGGCACAAAAGAATTAGGGTTAAATCTAGATAACAACGTAGACTGCGGTGATTTGGAAGTTCTAAAGGAAATAATAATCACACCGCTTGGTGTAAAATTGCCAGTACCGACACAACTAACGGAAGGCTGGGCTTAAACTGCGAATATTTCCCAGACCTAACTGAAAAAGAAATTTACAATAACCTGGTATTAATTAAACGTACATTTGATTTAAATCAACAGTCTGCAAGACGTCAATTGAAAGCCAAATTATTTTATGATGAAGGTCATGTACAGAACATTGAAATTAATCGAATTACAGATGACTCTTCACATTGTATTATGAAATGTGACTGCTTACCATCAATACCAATCAAAGACAAAAGTGAAAAACCTGCATACATGCAGGACTTGGGTGTGTTTGTCAAAAGTCACTGGTGGAGTCCACACAGCAGAATGTAACCGTGTTGCAGGGTAAGTAAATTATATAATATAATCATGATAATTATTCTTGATGAAATTAAATTTGTAACATTAATTAATGCACAGTATTGGTATATACACTTGCTTGACAGGTGTTCAATACAGGTACATGTACATGTGCATGAACATATTACTGTACATTTAATAAGAACTTTTTGAGAATAAATTGCCGGGTACGTGTCCAGGTTTTTTTTTTTCACTGCATTTTGCATCAGTTATAAAATTTAACATGCTACTAGTACTTTGTTGTTATAATGATTATTATAAAAAGAAAAAAAATGAATTTATTTTTTTTTACTTCTAGAGAAGAGGGTGCTTGCAACCATATTGCACTATTATTGTACGGAATCGTGGATATAACAGTAAAAAAAACCACAGGTAAAATTGATCTAACTTCAAAAGCTTGTGAATGGATTAAACCACGTAGCAGTAATCTTTCACCAAAAAAAAAGGCACAGTACATGGATTTCAACAAAACAAAGAAAACAATCGAGGTTCATACAGTGTCAGCGAGAAAAATCCAGAACTAACCTTCCAATCTGTTCAAGTTTTTAAAGAAAATCTATAAAAAATAAATCCAATGGCTGGATGGCTAAAATATTTCTCAACTATTGAACATCCCCCCCCCCCCCCCCCCGCTGCAAAAGCAATACCCGGACTTCACCATATAACCTTTTCTTACAGGAAGAATGTTGATCTTTTTTTTTCAGAGGAATGTAAACATTAATTTATGCAATATTTTGAGTCTCTTAAGAGTGTGAAATTATTAATGAAATAATAATAATAATAATAATGATAATATTACTTTATTTATAGAAGGTAACCCAATTAGTGCAAGCACTAGTCTTCCTCGGGGCCTTCTTTCTTTATAACACCCCCCGCACAACACCCCCACGCACCCCCCCCCATATATATATATATATATATATATATATATATATATATATATATATATATATATATATATATATATATATATATATATATATATATATATATATATATATATATATATTGTTTTTTTCTATCCTTGAAAATCATTAGGTTCATTCAAATAGTATACAGCCGTAGTGTATTTTTCAGTCTGAAATATAGCTATAATCTCTTATTTTCTTTTTTGAATCTTTAATCTGATATTGCCTTATTGTTACTTTATTATTGATAGTGAAAACGAAATTTTTATAAAAATTTCATAATTTAAAAAAAAAAAAAACACTTCGTATATTTCAATGAAAATAAAATTAAGGCACTAACTCTCTTGCATGATATATTTTCAATTCAGGTTGAAAATATATCTCATCAGTATAGAATTACATTTTAATCTATCATTCTCGTGCCTTAAGTGTATATATATATATATATATATATATATATATATATATATATATTGATAGCGAATCGTGTATTCCTTTATGCTGGAAACAGTAACATCAAAGGTAGGATATATGTGGAAATAATTTAAAACATTAATGTACTTAGATCGAAACATCTTTTCTATCATTTTACTTGTTATGTGGTATATTATCCTTTTACTAGTAATAATACATTTTTTTTTCTGTGTGATTTAATTGTTTAATTGTAACGAACTTTTTTGTACTGCAAGCTCATGTTGTTTCTACAAGCGTTTATGATTATAGCAATTAACGAACCTATCAATGATGAGATAAAGATGGTTTTCAAAGTTTGAAAAGGAAAAGTACAAAGACAATTATAAATTAAGAGGTACAATATTAAGATGATAAATGCTTTCTCCTCAGATGGTGGCTATTTATTTAGTCCTGGTTGTTCTTCTTCCCATTGCAAAAGGAGAGACAGTGACCGGAAGTTGTAAAGACATGTTACAGGGTTATCTAACAGGTCAACTGTCATCTGCTCTGGGAGCGTATCAGGTGGAAGCTTTGAGGCGGGAATTCAAAAGCTTCACTGACGTCATAAAGGAATCAATGCAAAAGTTCAAGGAAGAAGTCAATGATAGCATACATGAGGAAGGTATGTTTAAACCACGCACACAGTATGAATTATTTGCATTAAGTACAATTACTCATTGAAATTAAGTATTTTTTTTTCCTTAACAGGAAAAGGAAACAGAAACATCGAATACACAAGATGGGGAAAGAAAACATGCCCGTCCAATGCAAACTTAGTTTATTCAGGTAATGAAATTTTGAAAAAAAAAATGAATGTTTGTTATTTTATCCAATTGTGACGGGTAAATGTATATTAAAAATTCAATTATTACGAGTCTAATCTTAGTAATATGAGAAAGAATACTTTACAGATATGTATATTGTAAAATAGGAACATTTTAACATAAATTAAATCATATGTCTTGATTTTACAGGATTCGTCGGAGGATCACATTTTACTCATAAAGGAGCAGCGGTAGAACCCCTTTGTTTGCCTAGGGATCCAGAGTGGGGGATGTACGTGGATGGAAATAATGCTAATAGGGCTTATGTTTTTGGAGCAGAGTATGATACCTTTAACTTCAAAGGCCATTTTACTTCACTTATCCAGCATGACGTACCCTGTGCCGTTTGCCTTGTCAAAAATAGATCCATTGTGAAAACATTTCCAGGTGAGAGAATTAGAACCAAAGTAATACAAGTGTTGTAAAATTAATCTGGAATGTTGCGAATGTTTATTGTTTTTTTTTCTGATATTTAAATATCCTTGCGCAAAACAGTCTGAAAGTGTATTTGCATTACAGCTAATCTCGACTAAAACTATGTACGTGTAGATAATATACTTACTTATAGATAAGTACGACATTAAATGAAGTTTCACGTTTCATGGCTAGTATTCTCTTTGTAATCATTGTTGAAAAATCATTTATTGAAGTTTATTCAATATTTTATATTAAAATTGTCACAGATGAATGCAATGCATTCAAACCAGGCTTTGGTCACCTGTCATACATTCATCTTAATCAGGTTCACGTTAATAATTCCTTTAATTCACTCATTGCATTATTGTCTGCAGAGTGGCTTGTGAAACATACTAAACATGTCCATTCTTAGTTAAGTCTAAGCATTTTCTCTCAATGTTATTTATAAATGCCCTTATCTCTCAATACACAGATAATTTAATCTTTATATACTGAAAACTTCTGAGCATTTTCTGTCCATGTTATTTTTAAAGGCATTTAACTCTCAATACAGATATAATTTAATCTTAATACTCTGAAAACGTCTTCTTGGTTCTAAAATATCCAAGCAATCATTTTCCGAAAGTGTGAACATTATATTTTACTAGGTACTTGACATAATGTTGACATTTTAATTAATTTAAAAACCTCTGTAACTAATATTTTTTTTATCGAGGGAAGAATTAAAAAACTTGGGATGTCAATTTTAAATCCCATAATTTCTCTTTTGTCTGAATATTAGGATTTAAATGTCAATAGTAAACTACTTAATTGCTTGTTGACCTCCTTTTTTTTGTTTTGTTTGTTTGTTTGTTTTTTGTTTTTTGTTTTTTTTTTTTTAGTTTGCAGACTGATATTGAAATTGATCTTGTTTTTAAAAACAGTAAAGTAGTTTCTTATCCTTGTAAAAGAAGACTGAAAGCTACATTAGCTTTTTTGGTTGAACAGCTTGAAATTGTGAGTAAAATGCTAATCCAAATACGGGACAATGATTGAATCGAAGTTTCATTGTCTCTAAAGGGTCAATACTGTGACGTCAAATAACATCCTCAGGTAGTGTAGTTTCAGGTTTATTCAAATCATGACCCCCGGGGGTAAGGTGAGGCCACAATGGGCGATCAAAGTTACATAAAATATATGGGGAAAATCTGCTGTTGAAAACTAGCAGGTCCATAGTGACTAAGTTGAGCGTTGTGGCCCATGTATCTCGTCTTTCTTTCTAGATTGCCTGACTGATTGTACATGTATGTTGTTTAACGCCACACTCAAGAATTTTTCACTCAAATAGGGTCATGTTTCCATGGAATGGTTTAGGATTTCAAATTTACACCTAGATTCTGGCACCCAGAGCCATTGAGCTGTGGGGTTTCTTTATCGTGCCAATGCCTACCACGCGTTTTAAGGTCTTATCCGAAAGACCCGTGACATTCACTTCTAATGCCGCGTGCTTGGCCAAGAAACAGTCATATTTAAATCTTGGGTTTGGCGTGGGCGAGCGAAAATCGAAATCAAGGTTATCTTGACCGGCGTCTCTCAAAAAAAGAAACTTGAAGACATAACTTTTATCTTTAAAGAAATTGTCAATGTATTTAAAAATAATTTTATCACCACGCGGCTCAACCTCAAAATACAACGTCTTTTTACTTAGAGACAAAGTCATTGATACATGTTTATGTATTTATCATCCAACGGTCAAGTTAATTTACTCATATGATGACCCTAACAAATATTTACTTTAGTGAACTATAGTTTACCATATATAACTATAGTAAAATCTTTGACACTTTGATTTACTATGAGACTTTTCTCTAGAACTTTTGTGAAGATCTAAAGCATTAATATTTCTTAAATTACATATCAATGATGGAAATATTTGAAAATAATATGTAAATATGCAAGAAATATTTCCTTTATTTATAAGAAAATTGCTTGCAGGAATGAAACAAATAAAATATAACAATATGAAATTCTTAGTAAAAATACTTTGATTTAGTAAAATCTTTGATACTATAGTAAACTATAGTTTACTATACTACTTTTTTGTTAGGGGAGAAGGGGCGTTAAGGATAATAACGTTGGCGAACCATATAAAATTCAACGCCGAAAACCCTGGGTAACCATAGTGTGTCTTTAATATTTCATGATAAATCGGCAAAAATCAATATATCAAGCTAAAATTTTCAACTTTCCTTGTTAATTTTATAAACGTGACCTACATGTACACAGTGTTGATTTTGTCGCTTCAGTCCACGTACTCTTTGATAACCTCTCGTATATGTTTTACGAATCTGCACATGCATAGCTATTTTACACAACGTTATTTTTTTTTTTTTTTTTTTTTTGCTATATAAAATGTTTTATACTAATAAGCTTTTAAAATATAATATTTGACATACTTGATTAATGTTTAGTGTTATTATTTTATATTTATTTAAGCGAGAAAAACCTGCTACAAAGGATGGACTCTCGAGTACCACGGTTATCTAATGGCTGGATATCATGGTTTTACAGCCGGTACAACTTACACATGTGTAGACAAGAATCCAGACACCTTGCATGGCGGTCAAGCTAATCAAAATGGCTACCTATTTTATTTTGTAGAAGGTCGGTGTGGTTCATTAAAATGTCCACCATATGTCGAAGGAAGGGAACTAGTGTGCGCTGTCTGTTCTAAAAAGTAAAGAATAAACCTATTGTTACAAAGTAAATTTCCGACTTTTTTCATTGTTACTGTATATCATTTGAATAACATGCATGGGATGAGACTTTGCCATTCAATTAAGTGACAGTGAATGAAAGTCTACTGAAATGTGACTGAAAGGCAGACTTCTGCCATTCAGTGACCTTTCCAGACCTTTTAGTGACCATTAAGTTGACTGAATGGTGCAGGTTTATTTGTGATTGAAGATTGTTTTATGTGAACAGTGTAAAAAGTTAAATATCATATAACATTCACTGTATTAAAGAGCAACAAACGTTATTCGATGGGTATTAGATCTTAGATTTGACAAATTGTTAATGTGAAGAGCATTACAACTGACATCTTTATAATCTATTATATACTGAACTCACCTGTGTTTCTACTTATACACGGTGGTAAAGGACACTTGGAAACTAATTCTGTCACCTCGAAACTAAGTATACATGCTGCTGGATTATTTTAGTATATTAGTATTTTAGTACATGCATTATTAAGCAGATTTACGTAATTAGATTTATGTTTCTATTTAAACAGATTTTTTTTCAGCACTTTGATTAAGTACAAAACTTGGCCACAAGTTTTATAAAATTGGTTTTTCAATGAAACATAAAGTGTAAAAATGCAATAATGACTCACTTATGGTCATATATTAATTGTAGCATTGATAAATTTAGATATTAACATGTAAATCACTTTGGGTCCTATGTAATGCATTCAGTCCAGTAGTCTAATATTTCCTTGGCAGGATCACAATCTTAATAACAATCACAAGATAAAACACTTACTTTAAGTTTGGCTTAATGATGGCTTATAGGTCCTTAATGATGGTTTAATGGTTATCTTTAAGTCACCATTAAGCACCTTTAAGCTACCTTTAAGTAATAAATACACCACCATTAAGTTACCATTAAGCCATCTCAAAGTCCTTAATGTGTTCTTAAAGGTAGCTTAATGGTGGCTTATAGGTGCTTAATGGTAGCTTCTAGACAATCTTAAAGTCACCATTAAGCCATCATTAAGCCAGACTCATAGGTGCTTAATGTCCAAACTCCATTAAGCTACCATTAAACCACCTTTAATCCACCATTAAGTCACCATTAGGCAGTCGATAAAACTGCTTTGATGGGTTAAATATCATTTTTATAATGATTTCTTCACAAAATTATAAATGTCGAGTTTATACATTTGTTAATTCGGCGAAAATAATGTAAAAGAAAGAAAATTAGAAAAAAAATAATAAATGAAAAAAAAAAAAACATTCCCAACGGGATTCGATCCCAAACCTTTATCTTTAACATAACTTGTTTGGACTGGTACCTTTACATGTATTATTTTTGATATTTATATTTATTAATCAGTAATACGAATAATTATATTTATATATATTTTAAAAAAGAAATTTTTATTAAGTTTTATATTACCTTAATATTTCTTAACTGTGGACCGGAGTTCGGTGTGATGGTGTGAAACAACTTTTGATTTTAAGTTACTGAACTCCTCGTTCTGTTATTCGCAGATTTATAAGCATGAAAAGATTGAAATTCAACAGATACGCAGGTATATTAAGGCAGTACCCAGATCATTTTTTGGCGAATTTAGACTTTTTTTCGTAAAATGTAGCATTGATAATCGGAAAAGCCAAAGATAAAACATTTACTATTATTATCCATTGTATAGACGTCATTGAGTCTTAGGCTAAAAGAAGCAATCCACTACTACGTCATCACATGACGTCTATAAATAGAAAAATTGCCTTAACGAAAAAGTGAAAAGTTCAACACTACCCCGGGGAAAATTTATTTCTCCTTGTGAAAATAATTATGTAAAAACATCACTGGGCTATGAAAAGTGCTGCTAGAATCCTACTCTCCCGAAACAGAAATAAATATTTCAAAGATTCGCATGAAACCTTACCAAAAATGTTCACATTTTGTACATACGATCAAGGAATTGTCATCAATTCATGTTAACCACACGATTCTAGCAGTACTTTCCAAGTACTATAGAATACAAGCTTTCGATACAAACAAAATTTATGTTTCAAAGTATGCGGCGTAGTGTTGAACTTTTGCATCTTTGTTGTTATAGAACGACAGAGGAAAGGCTGATCGGGTTTTCAAACCACTGCCTGACTGTGTTCATTATAAGAAAACATGATAAGTATAAATCAGCGTACCTGAATCTTAATCTTTAATTCCTTATGAACCACACATGACATTCACGATATATGCTTTAAAACTCCCATTTCATATATTTGTTTACATGAATTGTTGTCACGTTTATTTTTCACTCGGCAAATATTTGATCAATAGTTATGACGTCATGGGTTTGGTATTTAACCCCCGTGATAAATACTAAGCTATTATACCCTCCAAAACGACAAAATTTAGTTTATATTATGATTTTGACTGATTCCATTCACTTCTTTGACCTGAAATTAAACTTTGAATATAGATATGAAGGAATCACTATCTCTAAAGTTCACATTATACAGCTTACTATGCCGTAATACATACATGCAAGTAGGATATCTGAGTGCAGCCTTAACATACCCGCGTATAACAAAACTTTGTTATTAAAAAGGAATACCGGGTATATCATCGAAAAAGAATGATGGAAAAAAAAACAACAGATTATAGTTGTTATAAATATGCTGCGGATATTTACGATTTTTTTGCAATTTAATTGATTGATTGATTGTATATTGTTTTACGTCCCATTCGAGAATTTTTCACTCATATAGAGACGTCACCATATACCGGTGAAGGGCTTCAAATTTTGACCTTTACTCGGCACTCAGGGCCATTGAGCAGTGTGGGATCTTTATCGTGCCAACGCCTGCCGTGACACGGGGCCTCGGTTTTTAAGGTATCATCCGAAAGACCCGCAACTTTCACTTCAAAGTGCCGAGCGCATGGCGAAGGAACAGTTGCTACCTATTTTTTATCGACTTAGGTCTGTCGCGGCCGAGATTCGAACTCGCGACCTCCCAGTCACGGAGCGAGCGTTCTACCGACTGAGCTACCGTGAACGGTTTTTGCAATTTAATTGACAATCTTTTCGTAAAATTTAAGTTATAAAATATTTTTTAACATATCATCTTCAGTTTTGATTCTTTTTATATCATTATGGGTATCAAAATAAATGTGTTTTTTTCTACAATCATAACTTCTAATTTGTTATATGCTTGCGTAAATTTTAAGCTTTGTGAAAATAATAGATTATAAAAATCTGTCACTGTATGCAGTTCCCGTGTATACATGTAGTTTCCTGTTAGCTGACCGGGGACTGACGGGGACACCTAATTAAGGTCTATTGTCTTACCCGTCAATATACTGTACACTGTTTATTTTACCCCGCTTCCCAATGTGTATAAATCTGGTCGAATGCCCTGTTTAATCTGATCGGCTGTTCTTCTGAAAATTGATTTTGAAATAACAATCATTGAAGACCGACTATATTTTGATCAATTCTTACTTCGAATTCTGCATTATTTTAAATAAATTCTTAATTCTGCAGTATTTTAAAAGAAAGAAAAAAAAAATAATGGCACTTAACCACGAATTAATTCAAATTATTCATGAAGTAATTCAATGATTGGCAATATTATATATATATATATATATATATATATATATATATATATATATATATATATATATATATATATATATATATATATATATATATATATATATATATATATATATATATATATATATATATATATATATATATATATATATATATATATATATATATATATCTTAAACATTTCTTTACCCAAAGAAAAATTAAGAGACTTAGAGATATTCCAGAAGAAAATGTCTCTAATTACAATATTTCCTATGAATTCGGCAGCGGAACGTGGCTCTGCAAACCCGAAAGAAAAATACGTGATTTTTAAAGAAATTAATATGAATTATGTATTTATGGATAAAAATAATTTTAAAACAAGTATTCAAACAAACTGATTTTAGGTAACGAAAATTTTAAGGCATTTGGTGAAGCTGTTCTCAGTTCCCGAGTTTATACGCATTGACAAAAATGTTTGAAATAGCGAGACAAAAAATATGAATTGAATAAGTATTTGTGTAAATGAAATTGAAACAACTTTAAACTTAACAAGTTATTTTAAAGACTTGATACTGGATGCGTTAAGGTGGTTTAATTAAGTTTGGACATTAAGCCACCATTAAGCTGCAGCTTAAAGGTGGATTAATGGTAGCTTAATGAAGTTTGGACATTAAGCATCTAGAAGCTGAAGCTTAATGGTGGCTTAATGGTGGCTTAAAGGAATTAACTTCTATAAGCCACCACTAAGGTACCATTAGGCCACCATTAAGCTATTGCTTAAAGATGTTCTTTCGTCCTGTGAATGAGATATTATCCTTCATTGTTATTGTTTTATATGTATACTTTTCTTCCAATACTCTAATAACTAGGTTCTATTTAGAAAATCATAATTAGATGTTCCATTTATGCGTGTGCATGTAAATCTTCTTTTTACTCTACTTAAGTAAAAAACAGTTTTCTACTACTAAAAGTTAACTAACAGCTTCAAGTAGTCTTTCGTATTAGTTATTGTCTACCTTTCATTATAAACCACATTGACTTCATTAAAAAGCTTTAAGATAACAAGTGTAAAAATCATAGGCATTTGGGTCAAGGATAATGTATATTTTCTATATAATGTATTGTCGGGGAAATTCGAAGTATATTCGTAACATTTTTTTTAAGCGCACAGTTTTTTGTAAATCTTTCTGCTTGATATCCACTAGACTGCCACAGAAACTTGATATTATGCACGTTTTAAGAATGACATATCCCAACTGTATGCTAAAAAAGAAACAAGGCTTGCAACTGCATTCGCCCCTATGCGTACCCTCGACACAATTTTTTTCCTTTTAAAAGTTATATGCAATGCTTACCAGCTGAAGTGAGAACCCTCTTCTCTCCACATAATTCTAATATAATGAA